TCCCCAGTGTGAACTCGCTGGTGTCTTGACAGGCTGGATGAGTCACTGAATCCCTTTCCACACTCTGAGCAGATGAATGGCTTCTCTCTAGTGTGAACCCGCTGGTGTGCCAGTAGGTTGGATGAGCCACTGAACCCCTTCCCACAGTCAGGGCAGATGAATGGTCTCTCCCCCGTATGAACTCGCTGGTGTTTCAGCAGGTTGGCTGATCGGGTGAATTCCTTCCCACATTCTGTGCAGATGAATGGCTTCTCCCCAGTGTGCACTCGCTGGTGCCTCCACAGGGTGGATGAGTCACTGAATGCTTGTCCATACTCAGGGCAGGTGAATGGCCTCTCCCCAGTGTGAGTGCGTTTATGTTTCCGAAGGGAAGATAACCGCCAGAACCCCGTCCCACAAGCACAGCAGATGAATGGCCTCTCCCCACTGTGAATGCGTCGATGAGTTTCCAGCTGGGATGGGTACTTGAATCCCTTCCCACAGTCCGCACATTTCCATAGTTTCTCCATCATGCAGATGTCCTCGTGTCTATCCATATTGGATGATCAGCTGACTCCTCTCCCATACACAGGACAGTAATACAGTTTCTCCCCACTGTGAATGGTGTGATGTTATTCAGGCTGTGTAACTGGTTCAAGACCTGTCCACAGTCAGTTCACTGAAACACTCATCTGGGTGGATATGTCTTGGTTCATTTCCAGTCACACTGATGTTGGAAAAGATTTCCAACAGACAGAATAGATAAACATTGAAAATCAAATGTTTTTCAAGTCCTGATTAATTGACTCACTCTCAGATCTTGGTGGGATGTTTGTTTAGAATTCTTGCTGATAAATTTGGCTCTGTGATTCTCTGTTGAACCAATTTAAATCAAGAAAAACCGAAAGAACTGCAGATGCTGTAAATCAGGAACAAAAACAAAGTGCTGGAGAAGCTCAGCAGGTCTGGCAGCATCTGTGAAGGGAAAAACAGAGTTAACGTTTCAGGTCCGGTGACCCTTCCTCAGATCAAGAAAAGACGAGTATGAGAAACAGAACTGTTATGAGGGGGCATAGTTTTGAGGTGATGGAGGTAGATATAGGGGAGACGTCAAAGGTAGGTTCTTTACTCAGAGAGTGGTAGGGGTGTGGAATGTATTGCCGGAGAGGGTAGTGGAGTTGGCCTCATTAGGGGCATTTAAGAAGCGGCTATTAGATAGGTGTATGGATGATAGTATAAGGTAGGGATGGAGGTTAGATAGACCTTAGGTTTAGGGTAAAAGTTTGGCACAACATCGTGGGCCAAAGGGCCTGTACTGTGCTGTACTGTTCTATGTTTCAGACACGAAAGGAGACTGTGAAAGGTGTTACATTGAATTTGGTAATTTGTGTGGAACATACTCAGAAATAGTGACCATGAAAAGTCACTAGATTGTTATAAAAACTTAACTAGTTCACAACGTCCTTCAGGGAAGGGGACTCACTACCCGTCCTGGGCCTCCACAAGACCCAGCCCTCAATGGGAGGAGAGACAGTGAGAGCGCGGTTTCTTCCATCTACATCCCAGGAATAACTGACAGATCCTCCCATCAAGAAGGTCAAGACCGGGGTGTATGGGGAATCATCACATATAAACCGCTCTCGCAGGCAGACACTGCCTTCTTGTGGATCGATGTCGCTGTTTATTTTTAATAGCTGCTAACTGTCAATCCTGTCACTCCTCACCGAACAACACTGTGGGAGACGTGTCACAACCACACAGCAATGAACGCTGGCCACTTTAGCCTTGCTATTGTCCCAATCATAAAATTAGATGCACGTTAAATGAGAACTATTCCTGAGAAGCACCTCTTCCTTAAACAAATTCCTGAACTTTGAACAGACACTTTGAGTTTAGCAACTAACCCTAGGAATATTTCTCGTGACAGCCCCACAGCGGAAGTTACTCCAGCCGGTCTCCGGATGAAAATGAAACACCACACAGGAGGTGAGGAACCGACTTCTGCAACCAACCGCCGCCCTGCTGTAAAGCAGCTTTTTAACTGATCCACCTGTGGTTCAAGACTGGGTTCTGGGAGCAATCCCTACAACAGACACAAGATTATGCAGTGGCGAGATTTTCTGCAAGGAAGTGAAAGTGCTGCAAAACCTCAGCAGTTCAGACAGTATCTCTAGAGAGACGGGGAGAGAGAATATAAACTCCGGCTCACTGACCTTTGGTCTTCAATAACCAGCCACTTCAAAGCACTGTCCGTCTCAGTCCAGGAGAGACAAACGTTGCTGTTGGTTTGAGCTTGCTCTGTGTAAATCTCTTCAGTCTAACACCATGTAAAAGCAGTTTCCTGGAGTTTCACCATGTTGTTCGTGAAACCACCAGGTCCCTCTCTCCAGCTCCGTCTCACACTTTCAACCCACCGCCTCCTTCCGGTTCAGGCACTCATATTGCGCATACTCTGTAAACTGCCTGGCTCCGGTAAATTGTTCACTCTGATTGGTTCGAGGCCCAGCCAATCCCGGAAAGATAACCGGGCTGCCCCTCTTTCTATAGGCCATACGTGCCGTCAATCACCCCGGAACTGAAGCATGCGCGGAGTGAGTATGACATTCAGATGCCAAGGCCCGTTTCTGGTTGTACAAATTTGTTCAAAGGCGAGGAATTGACCCAGAATTCATTTGTACTTCAGTTCGGGAAGGAGGTTTTTCATAAAAACATTTTATGTTATGTAGTCATCCCTGGGGAGGCCAGTATTTACTGTCCATCCCTCATTGTCCAGAGGGCGGTGAAGATTCAACTACATGCTGCTTGGCCTGCTGTGTTCATCCAGCTCTACACCTTGTTATCTTACATTGTTGTGGGTCTGGAGTCAGATGCCGGTCCAACTGGGGCATGGCGGCAGTTTTCCCTCCCTAAAGGACAGCAGTGATCGCGGTGGGGTTTACAGTAATTGACAGAGAGTCCATTTTTTAAGTACAGTTTCTTAATGACTTAGTTTTCACATTTATCTGGCCTGCTGGGATTTGAACACACCTCCCCAGGACAATAGTCTGGGGTAATAGTTGATTAGACCAATTACATCGACACAACGCCACTACCTGCTGAGACAGGAATTTCCATTTTTTTGAACAAAAGGACGCAATGTTCCAGAGAATCTGGAATTACCTATTCAGAATTTCCAATCTGAACTGACAGGAATGACTTTTGTAAACCACCCTCACAGGATTTTAGGGAGAAATTATAAATGTGAAAACAAACATCATCCATAAGTCAGAGATGGTAGGAACTGCAAATGCTGGAGAATCTGAGATAACAAGGTGTAGAGCTGGATGAACACAGCAGGCCAAGCAGCATCATAGGAGTAGGAAGGCTGACGTTTCGGGCCTAGAATGAAGGGTCTAGGCCCAAAACGTCAGCCTTCCTGCTCCTATGATGCTGCTTGGCCTGCTGTGTTCATCCAGCTCTACACCTTGTTATCTCATCCATAAGTCTGTGTGTGGATGATGTTTACATTGATAATCATCCTAGACAGGCACGAGGACACCAACACAATGAAGAAAACATGGAAGTGTGGAGACTGGGTGAATAGATTTAATTACTCATCCAGCTGGAAATTCATCAATGCACTCACACTGGAGAGAGGCTGTTTACCTGTTGCACATGTGGGAAGGAATTCACAATGTCATCCAGCCTCTCGGAACACCTGCTGAGAAGAAACTGTTTAGCGGCTGTTCTTGTGGAAAGAGTTTTGGGCAGCCAGTCAACCTTAGTGCACAGCAACAAGTTCACAGTGATGAGAGGCTGTTTATCTGTCCTGTGTGAGGGAAGGGATTTGTTCATATACCAAACCTGCTAGGACACCAGTGAGTTCACACTGGAGGGAAATTGTTTACCTGCTCAGAGCATGGGAAGGTTTTCACATAGTCCCACAGCCTGCTGATACATCAAATTCATACTGGCAAGAGTGTGAAAAAGGATTCACTCAGTCTATTCACCTGCTGACACATCAGTGAGTTTCCACTAAGGAGAGGCCATTCACCTGCTCTGAGTATGACAAGAAATGCAATCAGTTTTCCCATATGCTCAGCTCTTCCAATACAGTTACAACATTGCCATCTACCCAACTTTCTGGAAAATTGCCAGAATATGTCCTGTGCACAAATAGCAGGACAAATCTAACCCAGCCATTAATTTCCCTACCAGTATACTGTTGAGCATCAGTAAAGTGATGGAAGGTGTCATCACCAGTGCTATCGAGTAGCACTTGCTCAGTGACGCCCAGTTTGGGTTCTGCAGGGCCACTCAGCTACTGACCTCTTTCCAGTCTTGGTTCAAACAAAATGAACTAAAGAGCTGAATTCTAGAGGTGAGTTGAGAGTGATAGCCCTTGATATCAAGGCTGCATTCGATCGAGTGTGGCTTTGATTAGCTTCCAGTCTGCAACTCACTCTCAGGTATCAGTTATTCTATATATAATTAGCTCAGACCCCTCAATTAGATTCAGTCTGTATCACACTCCTGATTCCGGTCTGTAACTCATAGTGAAAATCAGTCATATGAGACTAATTGGAGGTAGGGGAATATGTGAAATGGAATAACATGTTTCCTTGAAATGCTGCACACTCTGTTGTAATTAGTTTGAGGAAAGAGTCCAAGGTAAATGGTGAATTTCAAAACCTTTGTGATTAAATAATTGTGTTTGTAATTTCATTTTCTGGCCAGAGTAAACTTCCAAATATTATTGGAGTATTTACGTCAATTTTCAATTCTGGATGATAAGATTTCCTCATCCTAAATGCTATTTGGCGTGAATTTGTGCTCTAAAATGGGGAAAGTGGGAGTTTTAGACAAGTAATTCTCTTTGAACAGAATTATCCAGTGACAAAAATTAAACCATGTCAGATAGAACAGACAGCAGCTGGGACAGTTATTTTGCAAGACAAGACAGGTAAACTTGAGAATGTAGCTGCCGGTGTTTCCCTAACTGTTCCAACGCTGTGTAGTGAGACAACACAAGTGTGTAATGTCACCCAGGAGCCGCAAGGCACAGGCAAAGGATTAGGACCCTGAAGCACAGTTATGGAAAAGATTAA